CACACCAAATATTAGATCCACACCTGTAAATTAGACATATCCATTTTTGTCTTCATTAAGTTCAGTTGGCTGTGGTGATTAGTTGTAGAGATATGTCCTATGATTTCTTTTTAAGCATTTCATCAATATCTGTTCACTTATACGGTAAAAAAAGACTGTACTTATATAGTGCCTTTTTATCCTTTCAATAGTTTCTACCTTTCTTGCTTGCTCTCAGTGGAAGACAGATGCGTCCTCCTCTGCTCCATCCCTCGCTCCGTCCCTGCTTTGCTCTTTTGTCTTGTGTACCTCTTACAGAGACCCTTTTTTGCATACCTTCCAAATTGAAAAGTATGGATTTGATAAGCTGGTCTCTCAACGAAATTGATCAATTTTTCTCAACAGGTAGTCAGGGTGAAGGAGAACCCTCTTACCTCAACGGAAACATAATAGGATCTATGATAACTGGATTTTACTGTTTGGAGTTGGTGGAAATCTGGATTGTCGACAAATTCGGAAACATCAGCAGCTGTTTAAGCTGCCTGGACTGTAGAGAATGTGCCAAGCTTGGCAGCACTCAGAATATGTGGTGCTGTATCAGGACTGTGCAACTTTCTGGCAGTGTCCACAAATTGTTAGAAGGAATAAATCTTGGAGCAATTGTAAGCTCGACTTGGCGTTAAGTAATCAAATTTGGCTGTTTGAAGTCACTATGAGAGAATGTACTAGTGAGACTGTTAAGGCAGACACAGAGATTTACAAATTCAGCCTGACCCAAAACAATGTTGATATCTGAATCTGGACCTGGTCTTGGAAGGCGGAACTATCTAAATTCCTCCTTGGATGTTATGGAAACAAAGACGCTCTGTCCCCTCCCCACCCACTCCCTTCCCCAAGGTTGTGGACCTGTGACAGAGCTCAACTGAGCTGGATGATAAACAAACACCTCTTATAAGGACTATGGCTTGGGGTGGGGGGCTCTGGACTGTTCTGTGCTATCACATTCCCTCAAACTCGATGCTTCCACTGGCCTCCCTCACCTTCCCTGGCGCAGCAACATAGGAGATGTGAAGGCGCCAAGGGCTCAGTCTTAGGACCCACCCTCTTTACAATCTACATACATAACGTAGGTAAAAACATCTCTAATGCATCCATACATTTCTATGCTGATGACACAGTTGTTTATTGTCGAGCTAAAACTGTTGCTAAGGCTTTCCAGCTTTTGAAATCTGCATTCAACAACATCCAGACAGATTTGTTCCGCCTCAAACTTGTCCTAAATGTCGACAAAACCAAAGGGATGCTTTTTTCAAATAGGAAGTTGGTCCCAGCAGTTCTTCCTCCGATTGTATCCTCAAATGGTGTCCCAATTGAGTTTGTTGATTCCTATAAATATTTGGGTATCTTTGTCGACTCACATCTCTTTTTTAAGCTTCATGTGGAAAACCTAGTAAAGAAACTGAAAGTTAAACTGGGTTTCTTTTTCAGAAGCAGATCCTGTCTAACCCTGAATGCTAGAAAACGCCTTGGATCTGTGACTTTCCTTCCCTCCACTGATTACGGTGACATTATTTACATGAACGCTCCTACAAGATCCCTGCAGATGTTGGATGCTGTCTATCATGGTGCACTAAGATTCATAACTGGCTGTGATTATCGTACCCACCACTGCACCCTGTATTCACTGGTTAACTGGACATCATTAACTTCACGCAGTCTCTCTCACTGGTACAGTTTCATCTTTAAATCACTTCTTGGTCTGCTGCCTTCATGCATCTCCTCCTACATGTCTCTGCGTGAGTGCTGCTACAGTGTGCGCTCTCAGGACATTATAACCTGCAGTGTTCCCTCAATGAGGACTGAAATAGGCAAAAGGGCCTTATCCTACTCTGCTCCTGTTTCCTGGAATATCTTACAAAAACAATTGAGGCTCTCGACCTTGACCTATCTAAGTGGCTTTAAGAATCGGACTCATGGCAGGGACCAATGCAGACATGTTCCTGTTTTTAGTTTTCTACATTCGCCTTAGAATCTGTTTTTTGTTACCTTTTTTCTTTTAGCCATCCTACTTGTTTTAAAAAAAATGGAGTATGACTTTTTATAACTGTTTATTGTTGTCACTGTTGTCAATTGTTGGCATCATTCTTTGTTGAAATCAGGTCTCTCTTGTAAATGAGTCCTCGAGGCTCAATGGGATTTACCTGTCTAAATAAAGGTTGAATGAATGGGCTGCGTCACTCACCTGGCAGCCGTGCTGGGACCCCCTGCCCCTACCCACTCCACATGCATATGTACTATGTCTATTTATGTTAATTTGCTTTGGTCGATTTTTTTTTTATGCCTCAAACCGTGCCCTGTAAAGGACACGGTGT